CATCACAGGCGAGTACTCCGATATCGCACTGCACAACATGTCCTCGAACGAACCGGGCAGAGCATATCGACCACCGGCCAATGCACCGTTTGAAATGGTCCCTGAGAAACCAGCTTGACTTTTCCTATTTCAAAGACAGGCCTGAATTCCGGGATGAGTTTGGCGGTGGCATCTACGGGCGGCCGGAGGATTTGATAAGTGAGCGGTCCCACACGCCAAGGAGCTTTTTTAATGATTTGGATACGCCGGCTTCCTCGCGATCGCCATCGCCTGTTCGTGCCTCACGGCTGAGCATTGGCGGCGGAGAAGTGCCGGAAGATGGAACAAACCCTCATGGGCACGCGAGGACGCCTGAGAGCAAGACTATGCCGGTAGTTCCTAGAATGGCACGGCCCCCTTTGAGTCGGCAGGGGACGTCGGAGGGCCAGATACGGCCGTTCTACAACATGTCGAATAACGAGAGCGAAAATCACCTTCTCAACAACATCGAGACTCCACCTGTTCGATCATCCACTGATATTGCGTCGTATGATCGATGGGGGTCGAATCGTACTGGTACTTCTCATGGACCACCTGCGACGCGCCGGGGTCATGAAGATACGTCTTATGAGGAGTATCGTGGCGTACTGTATTAATTTCTATTTCTCCCCTGATGTTAATTGATTGCATGCAGGTTGCTATCAACTATGGGAGGTCGCAATTGTTGTTATTATGTATATTTCTTCTCTTGGTAATTTTTTTTTTTTGGAACTTCTATGAAACATTGGGTGGGGGCGTCTGATGTGTTATGTTTCAAGGTATTGTGTTTTCCTTTTATAGACTTATGCATATACAAGCGTGTATCTGAATGCCGATGTTGGCGTTTTTTAAGTAGATATTTAGACGGTGGGATATGTAGGGCACATGTTTTCTCTTTTTTCCTTTTTCCCTTCTTTTTCCCTTTTTCCTGTGCATTGGGATGGATCTATCACTCCGATACAAAATAGAGGGTTTTCCTGTGCATCTCTGGGGTGTTAAAATCATTTCTCTTAGATCCTGTGGTTGGAGTAGTGCTGCGAATTATATCTAAATAGCTACCTAACCACAAGGGTCCGTTCAGGTTCATTGAACGTAAATTAATTTATCCAACCGAACTCTCCTCTTCGTATGTAAAAGGCCCTTTAAACATTTGCTGATGGGAGGTTGACATCACGTGATCCGGCCATAGCTGCCCCAAAGGTTGCTGACCTGAAGCTGGCGCAATCCCCGCAAACTGCTCCGTAGGCTGAACAACCTTTGTAAAGGCAACCAACTCAGAAGGGCTGTTGATGCTGAGACCTGCGTCCCTATCGTAACGTATCAGACTCTTCCTCTGGCCTCCT